AGGACACAGACAATACATTGAACCAATCAAAACTCGAAGTAATTACATGTGGCTGACGCAAAGCGCGGGAAAATGCATGCGAGCGCGTCACAATTGGCTTTGGTTTTACTTCTGATTGGATGAAAAGGTGGCGCGAATCTTTTAAGCCAATCGCATCGTGTAGAAAGTGCAAAACCAATTACTTTTCGACACTCAAATGAAAACCGCTCTAATTAGCTAACTAAAAATTCTAACATAAATGAAATGTTAACGGTAAATTAACTGAAGAGGTTATTAAGTTAAGTACACTGAGGGGGTCGCGTCGGTAAGGAAGTAAAACGTACAAATTTAGTTTAAAGGAAGCATGAGTAAAAAGCAGACGCCAGTTGTTCTTAAGTTGGATAGCGCTATCCAGCTATTGAACAACTGGGGCCATCCAGGGCTTTACAGGTTCCACAGTTTATTCTGTGAGCAAAGATGACTTTTCCGTTCGAAGGGTACTCAGGCGTTTCGTCAGCATCTGGACATGACGAGATGCAGAGGAACAAAGTATTAAAAGAAACAAAATTGATTTGTTTTTATTTTCTATTTCCAGCTGATTTTCTTTTCTTCTCATTTGGCTGGTCTTGAGCAATCATTCGCTTGACAACAGACTAGCCCGTGCGCACAAACCCGGCACTTCCAAATTTGGTTTTGATGACCAAATTTGGCGATCATTATTTTGCCGACTTTCCCGTATGTTTCTCCTCGTGTTGTTGTTTTGCTTTGATCCTTTTTCTTCTGCTACGCAAGGGAATTTGGAATCGTGGCTGTCATTTGATGATGTCTTCGCCAAGTCAAGATCAGGAGAGCGATGCTTATGCACTACTGGCCCTAAAATCAGGCGCTGTTAACCCTGCAAGACAACTGTGGTCCGGTGTCAACACCGTTACTCCTATAGCTAAACTAGAAGGTCGTGAGTTTGAATATTTGGTTCGACAGAGCTTGATTATTATCGGTCGAAACAGCAGTCTTGGCAGCGTGGACGTCAACATGGGGCATTCAAGTTTTGTTTCAAGGAAGCACTTGCAGCTGAAATATGAAAATCCAGACTTCTTTCTCAGTTGCAATGGCAAGAACGGGATATTTGTTGACGGTGTTTTCCACAGACGAGGAGCACCTCCGTTGAAATTGCCTTACGCGTATGTATACAAACTGTAAACTTTGTTGAGCAATATTTTATGCAGCCGATTTTAACTTTATTCTTTCTCTTACATGGCAAAGAGTGTTAATTGTTGATTTCTTTCAGTTGTGTGCTGCGATTTCCGTCCACAAATGTGAAAGTTCGGTTTACGTCTTTGGTAAGTGACAAGACCCCGAAACGTGTTCCAAGTCCGCCAAGAACAAAGCTGCTACCACCGCTCCGAATAAACATCCCACAGTCAGATGCGAACCTCACTTCGCCAGTCCCGTCTCCAACGGGAACCATAAGGTACTGAAATGTTCTTGTTGTTTGACGCGATTTGTCATTGAACTCAGCTCCCGGGGTCACAGTGAATTGAGTCAACCGTAAACTTTTCAGATTTTTTGTTAGCTTATTTCTATTTTCAATAATTTTACACACGCATGTTTTGACCTCGCAGGTTCTTTATTATTTAACTGTGACCTGGTATAACCGTGGAAAAACTCTTGTGGTCGCTTATATCGAAACTGATATAAGCTTACCCTTTGCCGAGTAAACCACTTGTTTATTTTTATGCATGCGTGCATGTAAAAAATAGTTTGGGATAACAGCAGTTTCTTATTCGCGATCTTATTAAGCCTTTTCGCAAAAGCAATTTCTTTTGATATATTGAAGAAATTTTGTTGAGACACAAGCAAGATAAATTTTATTTATTACTGTCACCACGTGTTTAATTGGGAAAGTTCGATTCGCTGTCCTCTCTTGTTTCAGAAGCTGGCTACGTGCCTCTGGCTTATAAAACTCTCTTGCTTTCGTTCAACTCAATTCCTTCTATAACTCAATTTTCTGACGTTTGCTGAAATAAAAAGTGATAATTGTACTTTGCGCTTACTTTGAAGAGAAATCGCGGAAAATATACAGATTAGCCACTGATTCCGTGTTTCGCAATCCGCATGTTATGGAAATTATTTCCGACCTACGCCAATTTCAAATCCATGGTGTCTTGTTTAGTCTGCGCATGGCAATGTTTATTTTGTTTGGCAGTAATGGAAAGTTTTTAAGCAAAATCAAAACAGTTAAAAGGAAAAGAAATCCTAACCGTTATACATAAAAATACTGGCGACTTTATTTTGTCGATTGCCGTGTGGCTTAAAATTTACCTTTCAAATATTCTTCGAGATTGCTGGCGTTATTTGTTTACTTGCAAACAAAGAGATATATCTTCTCCCTCTGGCACAAAATAATTTTGTACAGATGTTTTAAATAGTTTGTACAATTATTTCCTTGGCACGCGTTTAAAAATAACAGTTGAGCCGCGTCTACGTTTGTTTTTATTTTTGATCGCTTTGTTTTGTACAAGATCAGTACATACAAAAACAGTAGGTCGATGTTGTTAGTTAAAATTTCGCCATTAAAAAACAGCGTGTTTTGACCACTGCTTGATACTTACGAGTTCATTTGTGTGAATAGTTTCAAACAAATCTTACCTTGCACAGTCATGTTATTTCTTCAAAACCTCTAATAAAAGCAGTGTAAAAATGTTTGCACAATACTTATTGTTTAATCAGGTGCTATTATACAGGGTTGTCAAAATGATTTGAAGTAGCCGGAGAATTAAAGTGAGTAGGCGGCACTGGGGGCCGGAGGCCCCCCAGGAGGCGAGGGGTCTGGAGGCCGCCTAGGCCCCCAGCGGGGTACAGGGGCAGCGCCCCTTGGGGGTCCAGGGGGCGAAGCCCCCGTAAGCAAAACGGATTTGAGGTTTTCACGCTGGCTGAAATTGGCTCTCCTGAGAGCAGTGCTAACAATCCTGAGTATCTGTTTTTGAATGAACATCATCAATTAGTTTTTTTTATTCTCCGTTTCATTATTCTCTTAGATGCCATATCCTAGTACATGTTAGGTCNGTAGTTGATACCCATAGGTTAGTTAAAATTAGCAGGCATCTTTATTATTTTCGTCGTTGTTGTAATAGATACATATATTTTTCGTTGTTATTGTTATCCTTTTTCCTTTTTAAGTAGAATTGTATTTTATGTTTGTTCTTAAGTAACATTGTAAAACTTGTCTTTAATTCAATAAAAACTGTTAAAAAAAAAACAAAAAAAAACAGTCATACAGAATACTATCAAAAGCCAAAAACGAGGATATTCATGCCAAATGCTTGGTTACTGTATATATTGGTCTTTCCCTTTGTTAGAAGTAGAAATGGAAGTTTGAATGAATTTGCAACAACTGAATAGGGGGGGGGGGATTCCCTTTAAACAGTTTTTCAAATCATGGTACACAGATGGAGGGGCCAAAACAAGGTTTTCTGTGCTGTTTTGCAGACAGACTTATTCAGAGTTTAGTTTTGTCTGTTGTTATTCATTGACTGTTTTCTTTGCATATAGTGTACCCAACTCGTGCCCCGCCAGTCCCCGCGGGGATTCCAATCACATTTACGCTCCTAACTTGCATGCTGTGGCAGAATTAGCCGCTCAGGACGCCCAAGCTTTAGCCGAGGAGGAAAAACCCAACCTTGGAGGAGGAGATGGAGGAAACAAGGATGATGGAAAGCCACCATTTTCTTATGCGCAGTTGATAGTCCAGGCTATCCTGTCTGCCCATGATAAGCAGCTAACATTGAGTGGTATTTACACTCATATAACCAAGAACTACCCATATTATCGCAGTGCTGACAAAGGCTGGCAGGTCAGTACTGTGGATTAAAAATTTAATGTTAGGTAAATATCCCACTTAAATTGGTTTACTGCAAATTAAAGGCTGGTGCACACTTATGCGCAACTAGCAACATATGTAGTTGTAGTAGCTTTCTTATTATTAGGGACCTTAAGATCCAAGGACGGCGACGGCAGCGAAAACATCGCTTAAAAAGTGAATTCGCGTTCATTCAATCTTCATTGCGACAGTTCCAACTCACTTACTTTGTCAAATGTAGGCGAACTCTCCTGGAGCTGCATTCCTGAAAAACCATATCCAAGTTCAGAAAGAGAAAGAAAATTTCATAATAGCTTGTTTACGTCCTCCATAAAACGTGAAATTAGGCATTTTCTCGTCGTAGTTGTGCAGTGATGGCAGAGAAATGTACAAAAAAGCATGATGCACGTGCAAAGTTGTTGTTTTGCTAATATTAACCGATTGTTTTTTTGAAGTTCCCGTTGCCGTCGCCGTCATTTGATCTTAAGGTCCCTATTAAGGCCTTTTGTGAGGACCAAACTGCCAACTCATAATCCTTAATTTCAGTGAATGATGAACCATGGAAGTTTTTGTCTATTTGTAGAATTCCATTCGTCACAACTTATCCCTGAACCGTTACTTTGTAAAAGTGCCACGTGCACAGGATGAACCTGGTAAAGGTTCTTTCTGGCGGATTGACCCATCATGCGAGCAGAAGCTGGCAGAGCAAGCATTCCGTAAAAGACGCCAAAGAGGAGTGCCCTGTTTTAGGCCACCATTTTCTCAGTTATCATGCAGGTGAGACTATTGACGATGTCATGGTTCAGTTTTTTTGTGTTAACTGGTTATCAATGTCTTTGTAAGTCTGTCTGTCAGTCTGTATCCATATGTAAGAGTATTTCTTTTGTCCTTGTAGCTGACAGCGTTAACACATGATCCATTTCGTCTATTTCAAAGCATTTTTCTACGTGAATGGCACCTTTAGTAACGTGATTCCATCAAGAGGTAATGTTAAACAAATTACTTTTTTTTTTAACACAGATCAGCACCTGCCTCGCCAACACATGGACTTCAGTTCCATGCTCCCACTGCTCCTATAGGTCACACACCACAGGAAAATTCACCTATTAAAACAGTCGCCCAGACACCAGATGGGATCATATCTCAAGCCAAACCAACTCCCACATCGCCTCCAGCCATCCCACCAGCAGGATTACCCCCTCCTGTTCCTACAGTACCTCAGGCGGCAGCAGCTATCGTTAAATCAGCTGTCTCCTTCCAGTCAATCGCTGCTGCCCAGATAGTAGCACCCCCTCTGGCTGTGAGTGTGATCAAGTCTTCCTTGCCAACGGTTAAGGAAAATGAGGGGGCTGATTCGGAGAAAAATGGTTTTTCTCAGTCGTCTGGAGAGGAGTCACCCATAGAGAATGCAACACAGCTGGAAACAAAATTAGCAGTTACTACCTTACCATTGGCTGTGCATTTAGTAAAACAACCGCCTCCTTCACAGGTCATATCTGGGACAGCTGTTCAAAGCTCAGGTAAACATTACATTACATCTAAATCACCACTAATTGCCCTTGTGATCCACATCCTTTTTACTGCGACTAAGCACAGGGCTAATCCTGTGAAAAGAAAATTGGGGAAGACAAGTAGAGAAATGAAGAAGTTTCAAAGACCATTTTATTGGGAAATGACGGGAAGCATCAAAAGTGCTACCACAAAATTAATATTCTGCTTTGGGACACCCTTCTTTTTGTTTCCTTAAAACCATGTTAACTAATATGACCACCTTGTTAGTACATGTACAACCAGGTTTTTCAGGCCTGACGTTGGTGATTATTATTATTGGGTTCATCTGTAAAGTTGTACTGCTTGATAATCGAGTGATTCCATTTTACTGGTACAGAACTTACTAATTTAGGAAATACTTGGAGAAAAAGACAAGATGGAGCACTGCTAACTGGAATTATCGCTAATCAAGTCCTCTTCCATGATGAGCCATTTGTTCTTCCCTTGGTCAGAAGTTTGTGTCTGATCATATGACTTTGTCATTTCAGTAGGTTGGATGTTGAATTGTTATTGAATTTTATTTGCTCTGAAAAAAACTATTGTTCTGTCTGTATTTCAGCTGGCCTGCTTACACCCATCCCAACCCCTGGGGTCTCACCGACTGGACCAACCCAGGAAGCTGCTTCTAAACCACAAGTAGTTAAAGTTCCCAACCCTTTGCCACTCCCCCTAGTAACAACTGCATCACTTACTCCTGAAACATCTCCATTGGGAGTGCTTTCACCGGCTGCCACTACTGCTGCTGTTTCCATGGCAATGAATGGCGCCAAGCGAACACTTAGCACAACTCAAGCCCCAGCAAGTACCGATAATGAACCAGATATCAAACGCCAAAAATTGGTGCAACAGCAAAATGTTGTATGGCAAAACAGACCTATAGAGAGTAATAACCAAGAGAAACTCTAGCATTTAGAAACGCATTAACCTACCAATGTTAAACCAGGTTATACTGGTGACTGGTTGTGAATAATACAGAGTGACTGTATGCAGTTTGTAGTTACAGAAGGAAAGAAAACAAGGTTAGACTAGTTTCTGCAGAGGTGCATAAAGCATGAAATGCTTCAGTCTACATTCATGTATCAAGTCACCTGATAGAAAACACTGGATTCTATATGTACAAAAGTGCTTTGATGTCATCATTGTCCATTCACACTTTCGTGGTATAGTGTCCTAGACTATACCTCTCTATGTTCAGAGGTTGGAGAGACTGCAGGAATTTGGCTAATGCTTGCTAGTGGTGAATATGTACATCGTACAGTCTACCAGTAGTGAAGCAACATGGACAATCAAAACAGTCACATCACAGCATTGAACATGACTGTAAACATGATTCCACTGGCAAACGTAACAAGCTGCCTAAAGTGCAGAGCTGTGCAGGCAGGTCAAAAACTATGGTTGACTTACTGTTGCAGATAAATTGGAGAGCTATTGTTGTTACCAGACTAATGACACTACAGATTATGCTGGAATATGCAGACACATTGACATTATAAGCAAGATGTTATTTTATGGAGAAAGTAGGCTGGATCTACACTGCTGAATGGAGAAATTGGTGCTCCTATGGGTATGATTATATAAAATGTGTATACAGTTGCCTCAAAATGTAGAAGGGTTTAGTATGCGTTGTTAAATGTACTGTAAACTAACAGCGCAAGGGGAAATGTTAAAAGGTGTTGGAAATAACTAGCCTTGGCAAACACCTCTCTCACTCAAGATGTGTTAGCAACATTATTTTTGGTCACATGCAAGTAAGCAAATGGCTCTTCAGTTAACGTATGGCTTTGAACTGAGGTGGCTAATACTTAGCAGATGCAGAGGGAATGTACAGGAACAAGCGGTAATTCGCCTTATTGAGAAGACAATTTCATTTGTTGAGTTAATTATTTCTAAGCTTATGACTCTAAAATCATTATTTGAAAGTAAAGGTCAGTTAAGAATTTTTTTTTGGAAACTTCAATTTCTTACTATGCCCAATGTTTGTGATATCTTTTCTTTTTCAAAAATAATATTGTATAATGTAATTTTGAAATATCAATTTACATACCAGCAAAGGCACAAAAATCAATAATTATCGTCATTTTTCTTTCAAAAATAGCAGCCCAAACCTTTTCCTCGACTATAAGATATACGTGTTAGACAATCCATATAAAATGAACTGTGCCCCTTATTTCAAGTGATTCCACAAATCTCTAAACTTTTTTTTCTCAAAAACTAATTCTTTCCTTAGAAAAACTTAACCTGTGCATTTGACATAGTTACAAGTAAAAGACGAAGATCTAATTAAACAGATCATTATGTTTTTATTTTAAATTATTATAAGTCATAGTTTGATTCATTATATCTCATTAAAACATGGTTATGATATGCTTGACATGCAAATTTAGTTGGAGGCTGCAGTGACAAAAGTTGATTTCATGTACTGACTAAGGTTATATCATAGTTTTTAGAAGCATAGGTTACATTTTTGTGTACCAATATGTCGTTATTGAATGTTAGAAGGGTGCAATAAGAACGTAGAGAGGGTATTAGTAATTATTAGTAATTTTATTACTTATGCACCCCCTAGAGGCGAATCTTTGTTTACATATTTTTACCTCATTGGCATGTGCATTTTGTCCTGTGATTAAAACAAACTCTCTGAGTATTGAAAGAGTGCAAGAATTTCAGTTATCTGTGAAAGTTTTGAGCCCAGTGTCCCAATATTTTATCTTTGAAAAACTCAAAACTTTATAAAGAATGTACATGTATGCGGGCTCATTACAATTTGGCCCCCCAGCAATCTGCATAGTTTTCGATGGCTGCTATTTCCTTTGTTATTGCTTGCAAAGAGCTGAAAATTGTACAAATTGTTCAAATTAACCAACTCTTTCAACTTTCACACCTTCTATGGGTTAAGTCATATGCTAATGAGCAAAAATGCAGACATTGATGTCAGCAAAGTTTCGCCTAAAACCTTCCATAGATAGAGATCTTGCAAATCTCTTATATTTAGCATGAGAGGAAGGAAGAGTGGTGTGTCAAAAACCCTTGCTTCAACCAATCAGAATCACGACCTGTCTTGGTTGTGACTTGTCATCAGTATGGAATTTCTGTAGTTGTTCCCCAGGCCTCATTCCACACCAAAAGCAGTCAGTGGTGGAACAGCGAAATTTCAGTTGTTTTCTCAGGCTTTCAACCTGTCTATAATAACAATAATATTGATTATTAGATTATCAAAAAGGTTTTTCACCTGCTCCGGCAAAGACATTCAATCTAGAAAATCATTATTGCGATTTTTGTTTTTGCTGAGACCTGTCTGTTTTGGGAGTTGTTTGTCAAGGATGGTTCAATTTCTTTTAAATGAACATCAGCTTATCATGGTTTACCCTTTAATCCCCAATGGAGACAAATTTCTTGTACATTTCTTTCTTTATACTACTACATGAGAAATTTCTGCAATTTGATTGGCTTAGAGCAGTGGTATTTCAGCTTACTTTGAAATACCTACATGTGAATATTACAACCTTTTGCGGGTAGTAGTATAAACAAATAATAGCATGATTTGTACGTGATATTTGGCATAAATACCACTCGTGATGTTTCAAAATTGTCTCAAATTACGTCTAACAATTTTGAAATATCACTCGTGGTATTCATGCCAAATATCACTACTAATCATGCTATTACCTATACTAATTCGGTCATTTAGAGATTAAATGGGACAGTGTTATGTTTTTGGTATTCTTCGAAAATCCAAAGCTAACTTAATAATTAACTCTGGCAAATGAGGTATGATGGCCAAATTGAAATTTTAAAATGGATTATTATTTTAGAGTAGAGAAACCGGCCTTTATAAAATAGACTGAAAGTCATGTTTCATGAAAGATAGGGCTTTCACAGGTTAGGGTGTCAGTCAAACTAAGATTTAACTTCAGATTCTCTTATAATAAGAGTGAGTTTTACTCGGAGCTTTGTGTGCAACTCATTCTCAAAAAAATGTCAGTCTATTAGCAATGTCTAAAATGTAATACCTGAGGAAATTGCATCTATTTATTAAAGACCTTGTTGTCCCACATTTTCTTAAAATCTTAGTTTGCAAGTGCCTTATAGTAGAAAACAATTTTATGTAAAGAAGAAAATGAAGCAAACTGCAAAGATTTGTCCCTTTTAGTCTTCTAAGATGGCAAGTTATACTTATTTGAACTTAGGTTTTGTAGGCATTGTTCCATGGAGGAAAAAAGTGCAACTGCCCAGCAGTAACGGTGTGATTAATGACTTACGAGCGCTAGTCTTGGATGCCTGCAGTTTCTGTAAAATTTAAACAACAGATTGTGCATTTCGTTTTTATTGTTAGAAGTCTGGCTAAATTTCCATAAAGTACTTAAAACCAATCTTGATCATTCTCTGTGCAGTTTGCAGTTTGTTTTTTGCTTTGCATTTGAGTGATAACATTAATGAGTACCTCAGTCTCAATTTCATAAAATTCTGTGTAGACAACTCCCGATTTGTGGGTGCACTGAAAAATTTGATAATAGTAATTTATTGAAAGAATTTGTTTGCAAGATGCATACAAGGTTTTCTGCAGGCTTTTGAGGGCATGAGTGGTTTGAATGGTAAATTATTTTAAAAGCTTGGCCTGTCTTGAAAATGTGTGCAGCTGATAAAACTGGACATTAAAGTAACCTTTTGAAGGTGAAATGCTGCACCATTATTTGTCTCTTTTCTTTCCTTGTTTTAACCTCTGTGATTTTGAACTCCATATTTAAGGTTCTGCTCTGCTTCCCCTTTCATCCCCCGTCATTCAGGGACACCTAATGACTGTTTTCTCCAAAGTATCTGTTTGGAGAAGCAAATAAATTTTTCTATTATTTGAGGACGGCTACAAATTTCTAGGTGGCTGTTCCATTAATGTCCAATAAAATTTTCAAAGCTTACCTATTAAATTCCCTATGATTTTATTTTCTGAAGTTGGATTTTTCACATTTTACTCCCCAGGTCTGGCTATTTTTCGTGGTAAAAAGGAAACGTACAATTTTCAGATTCAAAAAAGCAATGGAGAGAGGAATTAGAAAAATTCTCACTTTCGCAAAACATTAAATTTCACCTGGATAGCCTAAAAAGTGTTTTCAATTATGTATTTATGAGGAAACAGTAACTGTTGTTGGGTGCCCCTGATCATTGCACCATGTTTTATATAGGGTGCACAGGGAAGTACAATGTTTACAGGGGAAAGCGTTGCCACGGTGTTGGTGCCGAAATTAATTAACAGTGCCCTTCTTCACACTTTTCATTTGCAAAAAACTGAGCACTACACAACCTTGTTTTCACACCCTGAAATGAGTACATCTCAGTGTTTGTGTTGCAGTAGCTTTCATGAAAAGAACTCGATTCTACTCATACAGTACTGCCTTCTGTGACTAAAACGTTCCACAAAATTAATGCGACCTAGGGTTTATTTATCATTCCAGAGTGTTTCTGCTCTCAGTTGACTTAGTTGTTGGTTAATCAGTTTCTTGCTTCAAGAGATTATTCTATGGCTTCCACCCAGGATTCCATGTCTCCCCCAAGAAAACACTTTTAAATTGCATTGAAAACATTCTAACTTCTTAGTGCTTCTAAGTTCTATCAGTTAGTATGCTTTCTGCTAAAATTCAAGACCTCTCGAGGTTGCACAAACTGTGAGGCGGTATGTCACCGTGCAGCCAGCTAAATGCAAGGTTTTTTTATCACATTGGACAAAACCTTTGTAAATATTTTTTTCTATGTAGTTGTGGACTTGAGCTGGTTTAACCCCATCACTCCTTAAAGAAAACTAATTCAAATTTCTTTTTGTAAAATCCTGAGAATTGAATACTACTGTGCCAAAGCTCTGCCCAAGAGGTTTTCTTTAAACGGTAACACCAAAGGATTTTGTTCATATTTCTCCGCAGTTGGCCACGGGGTGAAAGGGCCAAGCATTAAACAAATGGTTTGACAACTCAAATACAATAATATTAATATTAACTAAGCCATTACCTAGTTACCTAATGTTAATGATTTGATGCGCAATCATTAGTGGCTGTTCCACTCGAGCTGAAAACTTCCCTGCCCCTCTCAGAGACCTCATTTTTTTGCTCTATACTTTAAGCTACCGGTACTGAACCTCAGATTTATGGTGTGACTACACTTGGCCCATAAAGAAGCTCAGAAAGGAACTTACAGTATGGACATCAAACTTGGTTATGTAAGGGCTATTGTAAAAGGGATATAAATATTGAAGCCTTGGTATCTACCATACAAAGTAACATATTTTCTCAAATAAGAGCGGGGGACGATTATTTCTTTTTTTTGTTCAAAAAGGGGGCGATTGTTTCAAAATAATATTGCTCACTGGAAGTCATGCCCTAAATCTAAGTTGTTTTATTTTCCCATAAGATCAAAATATTACATCAAATAAACTGAACATGGCCTTTTTAAGCATTCCAAATTTAGTTCCTTGATTAATTTTCAGAGCTTGAATCGTCACCGATCAGTTTTGCCTGATCACATTGCACTTTAACTTGACAGGGAGTGGGTAAAAAGAAGAGAAGATAGTGAGAGAGGTGAGGGCAAATTTCTGTTTAAGTGGGACGAATTATTCAAGGGAGGTGATTAACCGAGGGATGGCTATTATTTGAGGAAATACCGTAACTAGGAAATGAAACAGACATCAGTCCATGGTTATTTTAATAATGTAATCATCTTTCAGCTAAAAAAATCCAAATATCCAAGCAAAAGCAATTTCATTTAACTAATAATTATTGTCATTTCTCTTCAATAAATCTTTTGAACAGTGCAGGAAACTATGATAATAATATTACAATATCTATTAAAAGTGCAATATTAATAATGTAAATTGTTTTACGAGAATTTTGAAGAGCTTTACTTTGAAAGATAAAAACTGTTTACAACACTTAATGTTAATGTATCTGCAATAATATATTGTGACTTTGAAAAGTTATTTATTACCCATACAAAGACTTTTTCACAAATAAAGAAAGTTTAAAAAAATTACAATTTTATTAATCTTAAATTCAGCTATTAAAAAGCTTGTTAAAAACTCAACCAACAGGGGCATTTTATGCTGTGGCCAATGAGTCAACGAAAATAGGTCAATGGCAAAAATGCACCAATTATAAGGAAACATTACTTTCATGGCAGTGAACAAAAACAAAAATGTTAAAAAGATAGTTATTAATTTTAAATTTTCATAACTGGAAAAAAGTTGGCCTACATGGGATGTTTCCTTACTGCAGCATGTAAGGTGCAAGAATGTGCTTGCATGGTTGGGGGATCATGACATTTTTATATTTTCCACTCTCTAGACTCTTTTGTAACAAGCATTATGTATGAAAGAGCTAAATGTTTTAAGTTTGATGCTGACAGCCCTGGAAAAAATCATTAAGCATTAAAAATAGTTATGGTTTCTGTACGATGTAATTTTTAAAATTTTACTATAAACAGTTAGGATCTTTGTGACCACTTTACTTGTTGAATTAATGCTTTCAGTCCAATATTTTTAATCTCAGTGAAATATTATAAATAATGGTTACCCCTAAGCCACCCCTACAAATGTTTCAATATAATTTTGATGTGGCCACAGTATTCTTATTATGTGAACTTGTGAATCTGACTCTTACTCAAATTTTCTACCTTTTACTCATTAACGATAGAAGGCTGTGCCCTAGCAGCACCTGGTTGCTTCTGGCACCTTACTTTTGCTCTTAGGCAACGAGGAAATCTTACTTTTTTCAAAGAAATCCTATGCTGAGCACCCTGGATTTCACAGCAGCATGCAAAGAAAGTTTGGTCTGATAGCCCAGGGCTAGCAGATTTGCTATCTGGCTAGTGAATTCTGTTCTTAACTTGCCCAACAGGCAATTACTGTTTTTTTGGGGAAATTCAAATTACAGAAGGAAATTTGTAATCAATCCTGCTAATCAAAAAGGGTTTTGGGGCTAGTTGAAATGACTTTCTTTGCACCCTGCACAGGTTCAGAGCACAGGGCTCCCTACGCAGCCTTGTAATGGTTACCCTGCAAGTAGAGTTTTCTCTCTTACATGGTTTTTGCGCGTACAAAGTCATGTTTGTCGCATAGTTGGTTTGTTGACACCCTGTGAGACTACACAACAGAGAAGCCATGCAAACAACTCCGTAAATGCTAAAAGCCATGCAAGAGAGAAACCTCTGCTTACAGGGCATGTAATGGTAGAACTAGAGATGGTTATACTGATCTTATTTGCATTAGGATGTAAAAATAAAGCATATATACAAACTGTGCAATTGACTTATAGTTTCTATAAAAGATCTGTTGCTTCTAATAAAAGCCATTTTTAACTGGAGCACCTGAAAGCACTTCATGGACAGAAGAAAAATGGTAACAATCTCTACACACTGCCATGTATTTATCAGCCCCACCTATAACTTCAACCTGAAATAAAATGAAAATTGTGAACAATTTTGTTAGCAAGTGCACTACCGCTAAGATTGGTTCATTGTGAAAAAAGAGAGAGGCCCACAATAAATTTACTATTAAACATAAAAGAATCAACTAATACACCTCCTGTACTCTCCGAATAACTGTGGATTAAAAGAAAAACACAGTTAAAACTTCAAAGTCTTTGATCTACAATTTGAGGGTAAATCTTGACAAATTACATGTGTTTGATTAATTCTGAGGCTAACGGTGGCAGGTCCAAGCATAGCAAGATTTGTAATACAAAAATAGGCTCCTTACAGCTCAGGGTCATGTCTACCGACCTATCCTGTGCCAAAATTTTGGACAACTCTAGAAAATAAATGTGAGACAAACAGTGGGTATCCCAAATTTTATGTTTTAAATTCCCAACAGTGCAATTTTATGGTCGGTAGAATAACTGGAAAAAATACTACATGCGTGCAAAATGTCACTGGACTGCGCACCTTATGGTTCTTTCATTTTAAGGTAGTTATTGCAAATTTAGTCCAAATAGGTTGTTAATTAGGTTCTTAATTTCTATTAACCCTTTAAGCCCCAATATCCACCGACAAATTCTCCAAACTGATCTCCATAAATCTCCTTTAAGAATTAGTTGAGAGAATTTGATAAAAGGTCATGGAATTTTCTCTATGATGATCATTTTATCAATTCTCATAACTTTATCTCTTGACAGTGTATGGATATTGTTAGGAGAAAATTGTTGTTGCAGGGCTCGAAATTGCGACTGATACGGTCGCCAATGCGACTAACATTTTCTCCTTGGCGACTAAAAATTCTAGTTTAGTCGCCAAAGTGGCGACCAGATTCCTCTATGATTTAGATTTAAAATAAAAGAGTAAAGTTAAAACAAACATTTCATCTTATCCTGCTTTGCTTTCATCATAAAAAATGTGCCAAATCTCATAAACAGTGCCCGTTTACCTCCAAATTTATACCGACTTCTATCCACGATATTTTCAAATCTGATGGATCCGATCATACTATGTAGGGCTTCTGATAGGTCACAGAAAAAAAGTCAAATTTCGCGGGATTTTCAGGGGCAAATTCGCGGAAAAATTGACCGATTTCGCAGGAATTTTCGGGGCAAACTTAGCCGAAAATCAATCGGTCAAAAAAGGCCGATTTTGTGGTTATTTTCAGTGAAAACTTCGTTAGCGATCGATCGGTTTTGCGCTGACAGACCAGCGTTTTTAATGTTTTTCTAACAGAGGTCATCATTTGCTCATTCAACAACAATACGTTCCAGAACTGAACAATGGCAAGGCCTTTAACATCATGGCTAGTGCCCAGTTTTTCGCAACATAATCTACGCCTGGTAGTTTCGGAGTTTCGGAACGTTGTTTGCACGTTTCAGTGACGAAGTTTCAAGATAAATTTACAAGTTTACGGCAAGTAAATAGCCCCAATAGCTAAGAAAAGTTTCAAATATGTTGTACAGATGTATATTTGATAAGATTTCTACCGAATTTCGGGGTATTTTGCGTGTTTTGTGAATTTCGCGGCTCCGCGACGGCGCGAAACATCAGAAGCCCTGACTATATGAGCTGCGTCATTTACATTTTTACAAACTGGCGACTAAAAATTTGCATCTGGCGACTATATTTCTCCAGTTGGTCGCCAAAAGGCGACCTGAGGATTTTTTTAATTTCGAGCCCTGTGTTGGTCACTATTGGGACTTAAAGGGTTAAGGAGATTGTTAACTACCAGAGAAATAAGTTGACTTGAGTTTCCAGGCGCTCACATGTCCCATATTAATCAAAAAAATGATTAAGAATATGTGTAGTGTTATCTCAAAGACAAGTGTAACAGCCGTCAATTCGATGTCAATTCCACGTTTTATTCGATCCGATCAACTACGCTCAGCACACCGTTCGAATACAATACCGTACAAGAAATCCTTACAAACAAGCAAGTGTCTCTTTAACGTAACCTTGAAAACTGCTGAAACATCCGTAATGCTTCCGTAATGTTCTATTCCTTCGATGTGAGTCTAGTTAAACGATCCTTATCCGAGAAATAAAGGCGAAAATAACAAGCGATAAAAGCACATGTATGCCGAGGTTTCACCTAGTGTCGAATGACAACACCTCGGCGCAGACTGGGCCTAGTGCACAGGACACCTAGCATTTACAACAAGAGTTAATGAAAAAATATATAATGATTAAAGTTAATAAATAAAGTATTTTCTGGGAACACAAAATTGAAATCTCAACGTAAAACTCCTTGCGTTTAATGTATAAATCAGAATTTAACTGTAACCCACAGGTTAATAGGTTCTTATATTTTTGGTTATTAAAAGGGCAAATTTCTGCCTGCAGGTTCTTAAACCACCATGGGGTTCTTATATATACACACAGGTTTTTACAGTAAGTTTATTGTTCCCACCATTTTTTCTGATCCCAGTCTTTTTGTAAAGGCAGCATCCTGATAGCAATGCATACAAACTGCATTGAGTTTGACAACACTTTCAGCTAAGGGAACAAGATTCAATACTCCTCCAAATGCCTACAAAGATTAAAAACAATACAGCCATTAAGCTAAAAATATTGCACAAACTACTACTTTAATGAGCCTAGAATTTGAGGGCATTTTTGTCATCTAAAACCTAATCTCAGTAAGGCTCTATCAGAAAAGCAATAACTTGTGATATCACAATGCGGAGAGGTGTCTTCATTGGAGCAAATATTACTATAATACAACAATGATAGACTAGCGCTTGAAACATCAGCTTTTGAATCTCAGTTTACAGAGGCCAATCAATTTACCTTATTTAAGCCCCAATATCTGCAAACAATTTCTCCAGAGTGATCTCGGTCATTTTGTTGCAAATATAGTTATGTTAAGTCCTGGGACTCATCTTGTGAAAAATCATGAGTCCCAGTCCAGAACCAATGAGTGCCAGTTAAAAAAAAAAGAGTCTGAAATTGAAAATGCTTGGGACGTTAATATATAACCAGACAGTTAATCTGAAGACAGACTCCAAAATTTAACTCTGTATTACAGTATACTGAAATTAAAATATAGTCCTTCTATTTTAAAGCACCACAAAGGCTAAAAGAAATATTCATTGTTAAACAACAGCCATAATAATTACTTCCACAGAAACTACACAAACGGGCCGGATATTTCTGCAAATACACATGTTCAGATCAATCGATCAATCGATCTTTGCATCCTACAGGATGCATTTCATTAATTATTTTGTGTCTTTGGGGATTTTTATGCGTCAGGGACACAGGAAACAGGGTAACAAAATCACTGGTGATCTCCATATATAACCCCATGAATTACATGTAGTTGAGGAAATTTGATAGAACATAAAGTATTTTTTTCCTTTTTGGGTCATTTTATTAGTTCACATGACCTTTCTTGTTGATGAAATTTGGATATTGTCAGGATTTACCCCTTTACAGGGTAAGTTACTTAGCCTGTGTTGCAGCCAGACTAGTCTTTTGATACCCAGATAGACAACTCAGCATATCAGGGATTTATAGACAGTCTGCAATGCAGGCTAAGCGCTTAACTTAACAATTCCAAAATTGCATCTCCCATCTGAGTTACCATACATCCAAAACTTTCAGTTAGGTGGTGAAGGACGTATTCACACCACACCAGTCAAATTTTTTACCATTTTTAAACCAGCTTAAAATTTGACCTTGATTTTAGGGCTCCAATTTTTGAACAGCTAGGAGTCCAAATCTTTGTACAACAGGGTGGTTCAGTGTGTAAACAGAACACCTAAATACGTGTAGCCATCAATCTAATAATGTTATTACAACCTGTCTTTGGAAGGTCCCATCCAATGCAGCAACTATAACAATTTTTCCAAGGCTTGCCATTTCTTCTGAGAACTCTACAATGTCTGGAAACTTAATTAAGAGTAGAAACATTGTGTTATGTAATCTATCAATCAAGGTGCTCCTCGGGCCAAGTCTGTGATTTGACTACTCCAAGTACTGTGTTCAGCACGCAGGATTTCAGTTATTCAGAAATTTCAGGAGCAGGTTACATTAGTGATGGTGAGAGGTTTTTATAAAAAGGGCTGAACTTCTTGTTCTTAAAATAATCAACAAGCATAGGTTTTGCCTTTTGACCATGCTTCTGGCCCAGTGAGTTGAAGTAATGTGCCCCCGACAAGAGAAGCAACCTGCAGTGTACTATAGTAGCAAGTTTTTCACCCAACAAACATTTTAAAAGATAATCTACATAGGATATACAAAAACCCTCTTCATAATTGTTATTGAACTGATGCACTGATGATTGCGCACTCTTAATGACTTATGTAATCACAGATTGTAAGATCCTTTACTCATCAAGCATCAGCAAGCATATTTTACTCAGGTCAAATAAATCGAGGTAAAAAAAGCTAGAAATTTCAAGTGTTTGTTTGTCCTAGTAATGGAGATAGACTGTTTGTAGTCTCTTACTTATCTCCAAGATCTTTGCAATAGTGAGTGCTTACTATTAAGGGCACCCATCTCAGTTTTAGATGTCAGTCGTCCAAACTTAACTTTTTCAAAATCGCCTTTTGGTGACCTGAAATTATAAAATGGTTGGTGGACATAAAATATTGGTCAACACAATTTAATAACTTACAAATTGGCCTTCATCAATTCCTAGAACAGAATAATCCATAGCTTTTTGTTTGATATGGCCTAAAACGGAGCAAGCAGAGGCTCTAAGGGTTTGTCTGCAATGAAAATGACACACATTTGTGGCATTAATGATGCACTTTTCCAGATTTTTTTTAACCACTTTTTGCAACTAATGTGCAGTAGATGTGGTCAGGTAAAGGAGGCATAAAGGGACACATTCAGCTTGGTTCTCACATCGTTCTTCATTGATCACTCTATAAATTCCATGTTTCTTGTTTTGTTTTCTCACATTTTAATCACCTTCTACCTGCTTCTCATTCCTCGCTCTTCCACTTTAATCGTGATTTTCATGATTGTCTCACTTTTTCTTGTTTTAACTTGCATAAAATGTCCCTCATGTATGAATTTGCTATTACTGGTAGCTCTCAAGCGCCGAATATTTAGAATGATATCCCCTTGACTGTCCATAACAGCCTTACTACTACTAACTTTAAAAAGTGCAGGATTCTCATAGGTTTATTGTTAGTTTATTTGTCAATAGTTTTGTCTCTGTTACAGGACTGCATGCATGTAAGCTTACTTAATGTTAGGTGTGTATCTTGTTTCAGTTTTCGTAATTTAGCCTACAGTGTTCTTTTCTCTGTAAAATAATTTCTCTCATTCTGACCACAGGCCGAATAAGCCCCCAGCTTTGGCTTTACTGAGTCTGTACCTATATGAACGATGGAATAATGCATCAGTCAATTCCAGCTGCGCCCAGCCACCCTCCCCCCCCCGGCTACTGCGGGGCATTTGCAAATTTTGCACTGCCCAGGGACCGGGCATTTGCCAACCCCGGGGCAATTCCTGCGCTTTTGACATGCACTTTCCTATCAGAATACAACTACACAAAAGGTTTTACTGGAAAAAAAGCAGATTGGCTCATCTGTCAAGGACAGGAATAAATTGAAGAGGGTTGTAAAGGCATGTTCTCGATTTTATGCATGCATTTCTTCATTGCTTATCAAGCAAGAATTTATACATAGCGAAAATCGGAGCTATCCAACGGAGCTAGCGTTGATGTGAATCAACGTTTTTTGGTTATTGAATCAAATTTCTAGTGATATTATTTGAAGAACATAATTTCATATTTATAAAACTATTCATAACATATAACGTTACAACGCTCTATTAATTTTAATGACAATAATTTTATATCAGTACTTAAACCATAAACTGGTGCATGTCGTTGTGAAGTCTTCATTAGAATCCTAGAGCTACTACAAAGGAAGACGTTAATTGAAACAAAAAATCGCACATTAAAATGATTAAAACCTCATTATTCGACTGTGCAATCAATGAAAAATGTTGCAGTGTTGACAAAGGACGGGGCATTTGCCCTCTTTTGTCGTCCCCACCCCTGGGGATTTGACAGCTCAAGAGTCCCCACCCCCGGGAATTTGCCATCCAAGGCAAAAAAATATGCCAATGCCCGGGGTTCAGCCCGGGGGGGGACTGGGCGCAGCTGGAATTGGCTGATGCATAATAAGGTATAAAGTTATTGTTCTCATATTTGAACACAGAAAACGTGGGTTTTATAGAATATTAAGAAAATTGGATTATGTTTTTCATTTGATACCCAGAAATCCACTGAGGAAGCAAATTGCAATTGATTAGAGCATCACCCTAATAGACGTCTCTCTCTCTTGTGAATCCCGCATGAGTCTCGCATGATATTCGCCATCTATTACATATAAGCAGTTCTCTTTTCTCACCTGTCGTGTGTGGCTACCCCATCAGCTTCGTAGCGGTTGTCTTTTTCGTATTTAATCACCATACACGAATGGTTTGCGACTTGGTATCGCTTAATTCTTCTCAGCAGTTCAGTTCTGAATGAAAGAAGATGAATAAACGATGAACGCCTAACATAAGCTTACCTTTACTTTGAAGTAACACAATAGCCAAAGCTATGGGCCTTCACAAAGACACTGATTTATCAACTAATAAGCCACATATTTCATTATAAAATGGCAAGAAGGAAGCTTACGTTTTTCCGGAAAACATTGGACCAAAGATAACCTACAATCAAGATAAGAAGACAAAGGACAAGCGTGTAAATTTCAGGTTGCACAAATAAGATTGCTAAAGTCGCCATCTTGAACATTACATTACCTGAATTTGACCTTTAATATTCCTTACGCCATGGACTTCCATGCCTGGAATTGTCACCAAAGCCATTTTACACGTCTTTGTTCCTTGCGCGTTGCAAAGAAGCGTTGATGAAGGTTTCGTTAATGAGAAAAGCGCGCCCAAACTTTTACAAAATTCGCGCCGAAACATCGCGCTTTTGTATAGTGAACCCAGTCCACGCGCATGTATTTTCAGGAATAGAACTGGTGAGGAGTTGATGTGGTTGCTAAGCAGTCAGCAACAAAGAAGGACAAGTGAAAAAACATGGCGGACCCTGCACAAGAGAATACGGTGAGAATATTCCGCTTGTTTTTAGCCATCAGCGAGATGTTAGCTTAAACGTTTTGTTGTTCAAAGCTGCTTCTTTTACTTGCTTCATATGGCTTAGTTTTTTCGCTTAGAGTAGACAAGCCTTTGAATAAAAAACACTCCTTCAAGTGCTTCAACTGGCGCGCGATTTTCTACGATTTTGGACGACCGAATCATACCAAAGCTCAGTGTCTATACAAACTAGAGTTCTGATAAAGGTTTTATAGCCGTATCGGTAGACAATCAGCAAAGTTATCTGATTTGTGATGGTTGAGCCCGAGCTTTTACAACACAACGAAAAGCCAGAGGAGTGAAATTAAAATAATGTTGTACTGTTTATTTCCCTTGAGAGATTTTTAATGTTTTGTTGACAACTCAATATGTCAGCTGTAGTATTCAAAATAGTGTATTAGATAGATAAGGAAGTATTAAAATTCAAACAGTTTGTGGTGACCACGTGTGGATCCATACTGGTTTCCATAATTTTACAAGAAACAGTCAGGCACCAGTTGTTCAAAAGGGGGTGGATAAAACTATCCACTGGATAAATCACTATCCAGTGGATAATGCAATTGGTCTTCCTACTACTTATCCGCAGGATAAACCACAATCCACTGGATAGCGCAATCGGTTTCCCTAATACTTATCAGATGGATAGCAGTTTATCTGATTGATAGCGCCATCCATCTTTTGAACAACTGGGGCCAGGTGGATAGCGCTATCCAACTTTTGAATAACCGTCTCCTGATGTTTGGAGTTTAAGGAAATGGCACTTTCAGGACTTAAACTTTTATGTTTTTTCCTGGGATACACAAACCAGTCTCCCTACAAACATGCACCATTGGTGATTTTGTAATCCTAAAGTGGTTGTTTTGTGGATCTGCATCTGGTGATGGTTTAAGATATTGCTCCCTTTTTGACTAACACAAAATGTAATATTCATAACACAGGAAAATGTTGCTGAAACGGCAGAAGTTGCTTCACCTCCACAGCCTGAAGTTACAGATGCTCAACCAGTAAATGCTGATGCAGAGAATCCCCCTTCAGGTGATACTGTCACTGAGGAATCACCCTCACAGCCTGTTGATGAGGTTTCACCAGAGGGAGGGGTTGCTGAGGCTGCAAGTGTTGTGGCTGAGGGAGATGGGACTGGTCAAATGCAAGGAGAAGGAGAGGCAGGGGAGGGAGAGAAGCCAGATATGGAAGATGAAGCTAAACCAGCTCAGGAAGGGCAAGATAATTTTGAAGTGAGTTGTTTTTGTTGTCCCCCATTTCCTGTTTTTTCAAAAGGGCAATCAGATGATCTGAAATTAATCTTGTTTGGTCAAATCTTTATAAATGGACACTAAAGGAACAGACACTTACACTGTTTAGTGTTAGCCCTATAGAGTGAAAGAGAGTCAAAAGAATAGAAGCAGATTGGCAATGGACCAACTTTGGTTTCTTAAGAGAGACTCAACCAATAAAATACTGCAGTAAACTGAAAATGTTTTTATTTTTTGACTCTCCTTAAATTCTCTCTCCATTGATGTCAGAGCATTACTGACTTATAATTTGGTCAACAGGTTGGTCACATGTGTAAAGAAGTTCCAGTCTCTTCATGTTAGGAAATGACAAAGATGAATGTCATTTGAGTTTTGCAACCTTGTTATGATCAGTTTAAATCATGTTTTGTTTTGTATTTTTTGATGCCCTCCTCATTTTTATTAAGTGCTAGTGATGTAGAAATATTAACCAAAACAATTCTACAGGTGTATTATTTTATTGTTTTGTTTATTTCTTACAGCAAATTGAGGAGCAACCAGATGAAAATGCACCCATTCCAGAGGTAATATAAAGTGGATAAAGGTGCCCTTATTCTATTATGATACTGAATTATCAAGGTCGTGATTAATAATCATTCTATACACTGCAAAATTCAAATAATTGTGATACACTGTAACTTCAAAATCAGTCAAAACAGCCATTTTTTAAAAAAACTGACTCGGGGAAAGCTTTTATGTTTTTATGCAGAATTCAGTTCTTGGGAGCAAGTGTAGCATAGTGAACATAGCGCCAACCTCTCACCATGAAAAGTAGTCTGGGCATAAAATCTTAATGTCAATGAATGCAACAGTATAGATTCTTCCTACCCAACCTTCCCCCAACCCAATGTTAACACTAAGTTCTCTGATAGAGCTAAACATTGGGTCTGGAGAGGAGTAGGTGAGTAGTCCAAGTCTGTTGTTTAAAGTTTCCTTCTTTCCTTTAAGACTCTCCAGCACTTCAGTCTTCCCGTCTTCCCAAACCAACAATATTACCAAATTGGACTGTTTCAGAATGATCCACCTCTCACCACCACCTAAAGTGTGACATGGTATTTTGAGCTGCAAGTACCTCTACGCAGATTTCCAGGTCCATCAAACCCTTCTCCTGCTGTCTGTTGGCGAGTGTGGAGTTTCTCTTGAATAATTAACCCATATTCCAGTTTGATCTGAAATGCAGGAAAGCTTTTGACACAAATTCTTAAGAGCTCTGAGGTGTTTATTAGTACATTAATTTTACAGTTCATTCTAGACCTATCAAAGTTCACATAACTTTCAAGTATTATTGTGCTTTCTTGGGGAATCCCTATTTTTTATAAATAATTGAAGAACAAGAAAAAAAGTTGTGTGACCCCTTATGACATATAATGTTATTTGAATGAGGCTCTTAATACATTTCATTTTACAAGTTCTTTGTAAGGGCTGTCATGTAATATACCTGTGATTTAATTTTTAGAATGATGCTATACCAGAGGCTGATGAAGGTCCTACAGTAGAGTTGGCGCAGCCATTATCCCGTGAGGGGACGCCCACTGGAGATCAAACTGTTGTAGATAATGACACCAAGCAGGAGGAGCCAGATGCATCAGCCACACCCCCACCTCCTGTGTCCCAGTCTCCTGAACCAACCACTGACGTAGAACCACTCGAGTCTTACATAGAATCAGGTAATTTCAAGAAAATGACTGTGCATGATACAATTGAACCTGCCATAAGCAAGCAAAATGAAGGCTTTAGTGGTCACTTATGGGAGGTGGTCACTTTTGAGAATTAAATGACAGGGGGCTCTCTTTCTAGAAGATTTCTAAACACATCTATAATATAATTTTATGGACGAAAATAATATTCATTACGTGCAATTTATGATATGTGCAAAGTTTCTTGTTGTGAAAAAAATTGGCCATGAGTTTTAAAGGTTACCGGTAGACACACCCAGGAATGTGGGAATTACTTTTAAATACATGAATTGTATGTGTCTGAATGTTTTTGCACATTCTTTTACCAGATCCTGTGAGGTATGATGAAATGGAGATAGATGAAGAATCAGAACCAGAGATGCCTATTTACAATAGAGCGGAGCTCATTGAACGCTATCAAGTAAGTAACTAGCAATAAAAGCTTTTCTTTTACTGGCACATTTTTGTTCCGCATATGAGGTAGAAAAAAAACTGGAAAAAGCTGTGCTAGAAGACCATTTCATGGTCTCCTAGCATGGTTTGTTGCCTAGAAGACATCAGTAGAGTCTAGACTAGTCAAGTTAAATGCATAATAAACTTTGATAATTGTCTTTGTTGAAAACCTTTGCGAAAAACTTCTTTTTTGCTTGTTGTAAAATCTAATGTACATTGTACAAATTTGTTGTATTCTGTTACCACTTTGTACATTGTTTATTATTTTGTTATTCCCATGCCTTTGTTTCTTTTTGGTATTTGAATTTTGACGGGTCTGAAATGTAATGGTTTAACTGCAAAAAAAGAAGAAAACAAAATCAAAGGTTTATAGAGGTTTGTTAATGTCAAACTGGTAATACTATTGACTCATTTGCAGCAAGCTTTGGAGGAGAGATCCACCTTACAGTCATTAAATGCTCAGCTACAGCACAAATTAGCAGAATATTTCAAAAAGAAAAAGGTAATTTTTAAAAGAAATAATACTTCATGATTATTCTGCCTATGTAAAATGGGCACAGACTCCTAAAGTCCTTTAGCCTGTACCAGGCTCCCAGTCAGTGCAGACAAGCAAAAAAAAGCAAGCAAGAAGTGAAATAGCGAATAAGCCAAAAATGACGGGAAGAGAGAAGCAGAGAGCCTTTACTACCCTCCCCAATTCCTGAAAAACCATTTCTCATGTCAAAATGTCAAAAGCTGGGGAGGGTTTCACATGCTTGACATGTTTGTTAGACTCTGCACGTCCATAGCCAAATGATTGACATAAATCTTGAAGTAACCTTTCACAATTGACCAATCATAGGGTGTACCTGGAGTCGGTATACCTGTAGTTGGAATGAGATATTGGAAACAAATACAGGTTCACCTCTCCATCTCTCCCCAGCCCTCTCACAGTTCTTGTGCAGCTTTTGTTGATCCGCTTTCCCCACTATCGACTCCAAGTCCTTTACCCATTTGCACTTCCATACAGGTGGCTATGACTGGTTGATGCATGAATGTGTTTAAATTTCATAGAGCTGATGAAAATTGTCTGCAGTTAACACTTCCCCTTTTAGCTCTAATATTCTTTCAGCTTTTGTAATCTATCCATTCGTCTCCATTGTTTTCGTGAATTTTTGAGTTACTAAAAATCGGTGTATTATCAGGTTTAAAAACTCGAGGCAAAGCCGAGAGTTTTAAACCTGATAATGCATGGCCGCGTGTTTTTTGAACGGCTTCAAAATCTCTGATGTAGATCAACTCATTCTTGCACTAATATTTAGATTTGGGGTTATTTTGTTAAAAAAGATGGGACATAAAGTTTAGCCGTGTCTTTATTAGTCTGCTACACAGCCGTTTTTAGTGTCGTCACGCAACGCTCCTCCCCACAAACGGCCGTTAGTGGGGAGGAGCGTTGCGTGACGACACTAAAAACGGCTGTGTAGCAGAGTATGTATTTATGAGATATAAAGACACTCATTAAACATAATTTCTTTTGTTTTTTCTTTATGAATTATATGAATTATTATTGAGTTTTTGAATAAAAGTATAAAAATAGTATCTTTAATTATTTTCTGTGTTTTCCTTTCAGAGTGATGAACGGCAGCAAGAGATTGAAAAGAACGTGACTGATCAGGAACAAAGATATCTGAAATATATGTGTACGTTTTGACCAATGAAACATTAGAGACCTTAAGATCCGACCACGTCGACGGCAACGAGCACGTCAAAAAAGCAATAGGCTTTGATAGGTGCGGTCGCACTAGCGACTTACCCATGGGAAAATAGCTGTTGCCTTAGGGGAAGTAACTTTTTGTCTGTGGCCAATTTCCCCAAGGTGAAATTGCCTCAGGGAAATTTCCATAGATACGTCAAAAAGAACAATAGAATTACCTATGACAGTTCCCGAGTTAATTTCTTTGGGTTAATAAAAATCCAAAGCGGCTCAACCCCTTGGGCAATTTATCGTTGTGTGACCGCAGACAACAAATGATCAAAACCGAGAGCGAACCCAACCCAAGCTATTTCCCCATGGGGATCCTTGCGGAAGATGTCTAGTGTGACCACACGTAATAAGCGAAACAACAAACTCTGCACGCGCATCATGCCGTCACTGCACGGCCACGACTTGAAAATACCTAATTTCAAGCAAAGACAAAATTGTCTTCCTCTTTCTGAACGTAGATAAGGCTCTTCAGGAATTCAACTCCAAGAGGGTTCCTTTACATTTGAGATAGTCACTGATTTGGAATAAGATTGAAAAAAGATTGAAAAACGCGAATTCACGTTCTTAACGACGTTTTCGCGGACGTCACCGTCTTCGCATTTTATAAAAAGGTTTCGGCGGCTATTGAAGTATCGACGCATTTTGACGTACTGTGTACTGACTTTTAAAGAATCCAACCAACACAATCATGTTGAGGAATGATGTTTTGTTAACCACATTCCCTGATCAGAGGTTCTTTTGCAAAGGAGGTTATAGAACGTGTTTCTAACATCTTTCTTGCAGAATGCAAAGTGTTCATTTATAAACTGATTTCTTTCGCATTCTAGCAAACCTCGAAGAACTTCAAAATGAAGAAGGAAGGGAAAAAGAAAGCTATGAAGAACAAATTGAGGATCTGAAAGCAAAATGCAAAGAAAAGCAGGAAATTGTTAACAGATCCAGGTATGTACTCCTGAGTCCCTTGCAAACACAATAGTGAATGATTTTTTTGGCGTCTCATTAGTGAATTTGTTAAATAATGACTACAAAAGTTGATTTACAGAAACAAAAAAATAAATAAATAAAATAAATAAATGTACGATCTCTTCAAGATTGGCGAGGGGTGGGATTTAGGGGCCTGTTTACATGGAGGCGGGGGACCCCAGATTGGTGAGGTATCACTGATTTGCCGGGTCACCCCACCTATCATGTAAACGTGATCAAATTAAAATGAGAGATTATATGGACAGGTGGGTTACCCCACCTAAGCGGCTTACATCCCCCACCTCCATGTAAACAGGCCCTTAGACCACGGGAAGAAGACAAATGATGACCGCAGTGACATCACATTTACACATTATTAAAGTCAATGTTGAATTCTTCGTGGCCATGTATAGGTGGCCCTGTATCCCACTTTTTGGTGTCTGAGTGTGTTTGACGCATTAAATCTCCCTCTGTCTGTTTTCAGTGACAACTTTATGCTGTTCAAAATGGACGTTGCAAAGCAGGCAATCAACAGTCGGTCTGGGAAAGCCATTCCTCCTAAAGTAAGATAAGCGTTACGAAAACATTCCCCCTTTTTTTCTTGTGTTATTCTTCTTACACTATTCTTCACGAGGAAGCTTGAGCAAAGACGACGGCGATGGCAACGAGAACGGCAAAAAAGCAACAGGTTTTATTGGCAAAACAACAACTTTGCACGTACATCACGCTTTTTGGTACATTTCTTAGCACGCGAAAATGCCTAGTTTCACGTTTTGTCGAGGACGTGAACACAAGGCAACAACTTTCCTTTTCTTTTCTTGAACTTTGATACAGTTCTTTAAAATTCAAATCCAAAAAAATTTACCAACATTTGACGAATTGAACGAGATGGAATAAGCGCGATAAAGTTTGAGGCAGCGCGAATTCACTTCATAAGTGACGTTTTCGTAGCCGTAGCCGTCGCCATCGTTGTTGCTTAAGCTCCCTACTATAACTAGAACTCGAAGGCCGCGCTTCCCGAAATTCCTCTTTCCTTATCTCTTTCGAGTACGCACTCGCCGGCCAACCATAGATGTCATTTTCCTCACAGATAGTAGGGTCGGAGAAATACGCGTGCGCGCGTGAAAATAACCACCTGCGAGGGAGGTGACACACTCCTCGCGTTTGGCGATTTTCACGCGCGTTCGCATATTTCGATAAGTCAACCATACCTGTGGAAGAGAAGGGACGACTACTCGTAGTCTGGTATGGCCAAATTCCACGCTACAGGTGATGGTCCGTGAATCAATCTTGAAAACTGATATCCTGATAGCACATGCCCGTCATTTCGCACAAGGTGAAAAGAAATCAAAGCAACGAGGAATACAAAAAGACTAGACTTTGCGTAGACTTTGTGTGCATTTTAACTTTTGCTTCACTTTTGCTAACGTGTTATTTAACAAGTTACCTCACCATACTCTTAAAAGCGTGGTAGATCAGTCAGGATATTTCTCTTTCTTCGTTCTAAGAACAACTTTTTTCTTTCTGCTGAAGGATCTTGAACAGTACCAGATGATGGAACTCAAGAAAGAGCAAGAAGTCATGCAGGTGATTTATTAAGGTTTTGCAACGGGAACCGTATTGTTCATTAAGAAAAAATGAAAGAAACGTTTAATAGTAGTCGTGGTTATAGGTAAAATCCGTTCTTTACATTCTAAGACGAGAACGAGTGCGAGAACGAGATTACCCAACACTAAGTAGTGCGCCTGCGTGAACCAGTGATAGCCGTCGTCATTCTACTACGGGAATGTCGTTTAATAGTGTCGGAAACAAGTTATCAAATGCTAGAAATTTTATTACTTTGCGATCGGAAGAGATCTTAAACTCCTTCATTAGAAAGAACCGTGCTAATTTTTTATGTGAAAAATGGTACAATGAAGCTTTTCGAGCTGTCTACTTCTGGAGAAAATACAAAAAGAAATTTAATATCTAAATCTCGCCCTCGTCCTGGAATATAAAGGTCTCTAGTATTCAACAAAGATTGACTAGGGTTGGAACCCTAGCAAAAATCTAATGATTACTGGAGAACAGACTTTCCCTACAAGTTTACAGTAACACACCGTAGGAAAACCATTTCTCCCCAAACTCATCTGCCGTACTGTTTGTGGCGCTGCTTTTTAAATACCGATTTATACGCGGTCACACTTAAGTTTGTTTTCCACACAGGGATCCCAGACTCACAACAGCCTGTACTGGAAGCCAAATTTTAAGATTTTTATGGGAATATATGGTAAGATCGATAAAACGGTATAAAATGTACATAAACAGCTATTAATACAGTACCACAAATGAAGAGTAAAACAATATGTGTTTTCGTCTCTCACCTATATGCCTTCATCGGGGTGAATAGCCGTTACAAGCATTACACGCCATTATAATTACACGATAACGAACAATGAAAATTTGCACGCGCCACAAAGGAAGATAAACGTGCGCGCGCTTTTACCGGATGCGAGACCTAGTCGTCCTATTCTGGCTATAAAAAAATCGTTTATATTCAAGCCTTGAGGCTGAATACAGTTCAACCTATAGTCCCACTGACCTTCTTTATCCGGAGAGCTGATTCTTCCCAGGACATTCTGTCGATTAACTGTATACTTACATCCTAAACAGCTATTAAAGTATACACACCTCATAAAGAGTTGAGTCTCTGTTGTTTGCCTACTGTTTCCTGCCCTATAATATTTTAGCTAGTTTTAACGTTTATAGTAGGTGAGAAACCGAAACATTAATACTTGCTAAAATGGTGTTTTTAGGGCAGGAAACAGTAAGAAAACAACACAGACACAACTCATTTGTACTTTATAGCTGTTTACGCACATGTTAACGGTTTCATCGATCTTACGATAAATTTCGATACGCCTCTTGCACATTTCCCATAATGCACCTTATTTGCACCCAAAAAGTTTGCATAAGCATTGTTTTCAATTTCTCTTGGGACGGCGTTAATACCCAGGAGAAATGAAAAACCAAGGTTATGTAAAATTTTGGGGGGCAAATCAGGTGCGTTATGGGAGATGAGCAAGTGGCGTATACAAATCCTTACAATTTGGCTTCCTGTAGGCTGTTGTTTTCCGCAGTACTCGTAACTCATCCCATGCAAGGCGTCTTTTACGTGGGAAGTTTCACAGAATTATGTTGAATAATTTTCTGTTTTATCGTGGAACTTTGAGTGCGTTCCTTTGGGATGATCCAGATCAAGATTTATGATGCTAATGTTACGATTATTTTTGATTAATTTTAATGCGTTTCAATTTGTGTCGTAAGTAATACTTTTCGGCTACTTTTGTTTTAAGGTTCGCCTGGAAAATATTAAGCTGAAAAACCGACTAAAAAAGAGAGAAATGCAGCTGAAGGCCAAGGTGAGATAAAGAAATATAGTAATCATAAATCTTTGAAAGCTTCTCGTTTTACATTTTACCGTCAACTAGAGTAGCTGGGAACTTATAATGAAATTATATTATATTACAGGAAAGTCGCGCAAATTGCTATTGTTAACTGTTTATTTTTTCTTGTTTTGTAGGAAGAACTGGCTGAGGGTTTACATTTAATAGATTTTGAACAGCTCAAGATTGAAAACCAGACGTACAACGAAAAAATCGAGGAGAGGAATGAGGTGAACTTTGTCATTAAAACCTTCTTTCCTAAGTTGAAGTTGAATTCAAGATCTAAATTACAAAAATGAATTTACTCCGTAGCAACAAAGTAAAAAAGACAACATTTATCGCTAACTTTCATTTCCCTGGTGGCCCTATTCACGGCCCATATTCGCGTCAGTAATCAGTTATAACTCAGAAATTTAATGTGCGTGTAAGTAGTTTTGAAATAGGAGGTATTCGCCCCAAAAATGTACTAATATTTTTATATAAAGTACCTCTGTTACGTACCAGGGCAGACTTTCACGAGGTTCTTGTTTGTTGTTGCTGTTGATGTTAATCTTTTCATGTGCCAAACCTCATCTGTGTTATAAACACCGTTTCCACGAAAAAAAGCCGTAGTTTAAATAAATTGCTTCCCCTCTTGTGTTGAATAGGAGCTGTTAAAACTCCGCAAGAAAATCACCACCACAGTACAAGTTTTGACGCATCTGAAGGAGAAGTTGCAGTTTGTACAGGCTGAGAACAGCGAACAGAGAAGCAGTTTAAGAACAGTCGAAGCTCATGCAGCTCAGGTGAGTCTCTCTTCAGCACCTGTAACAAGCGCCTCAAGAGAAAGGAGAAGTCGTTACGTCGCGTTGCCATGGTAGCAATTTTTCTGGATGACAACAAACCGAAAGTCGCACTGTTTCAAACTTCATCGATGTTACTCAATTTCAATTTTTTGTCAAATATTGGCAAACTTTTCTGAGGTTGAATCCAAAAGGACCGTATCTATGTTTAGAAAAAGAACGTTTTTGTGTTGTGGTCACCTTCTCCATAAAGCGAGCGCGTGAAATTAGGAAGTTTCATGTGATTGTCGCAGTCGTGCAACGACGGCAAAGAAATGTTCTGAAGCGTGATTCACGTGCAGAGTTGTTGTGTTGTTAATATGAACCTGTTGCTTTTTTGCCGTTCTTGTTGCCGTCGCCGTCGTCGGTGGTTAAGCTTCCAATTGTTGTGATCCAGAAATTTTGCTACCATGGTGGCGTGACGTCACACTTCTCCTCTCTATTGGCCATTTTCATGATGACGTCATTTGACTGCATCTACCAGAATTCATTTCAATTTGCTTGAGATTTCAGTGACAATTGTCCTTGTAGATACTTCTTAGCCGTCGTAGCACGACTACGACGTGAAACTTCCTACTATAAACTAGGTGAACACCACACAATGTTTTTTTTTTCTTTTTCTAATCTCAAATTCGGTCCTTTCGGACTTAACTCCAGAACATTTAGCCAACATTTGGCAAATTAATTGAAACAGAACGAGATCGATGAACTCTGAAACAGTTTTAAGTGACGTTTTTCGGTTTGTTGTCATCCAGAAATTTTGCTCCCTTCGCAACGTTACGTAATGACTTCCCCAATCTTTTTCTCCATACTCCGCGTTCAGTGTAAAAAAGAGTGGCTATTCATGCCTGATATGTATGCTGTCTGCTGTTTGCTATTTGCTGATAGCTATTTCTTTTCGTTGTCTGTTTCAGAAACGAGACATTCTTACACGAACAAAGCAAGTTCGAGATGCTCTGAGAATAGAAAATGTCAAACTTCGACAAAAGTGTGGACTTCTTGGAAACGAACCGTTACTTAGAGATTATGAGCAAAGAAAAGAGCAGGTATTTACAGAAAGCACGCTCTGACTTGGTTTACCCCTCCATAAAGCCGTTTGACATTTTTCACATGTTTCGATGGGTTTGCAATCGAAGTAATGCAAATCCAATCAAAATCCAATATATTTTTAAGGTATTTTCGCGCATTTCAAGGGTTTTATTTTGTACTTCTTTGAAACTACACGCTTACGTCTCCAAATTGACTGGTTCTGATTAAAGGAAACCCATCAAGGGCTTGAAAACTTATAGAACACTTGTCTGCATAAATGGCAGATTGTTGGAGAGCACTCGCGATTGATTAATTGGTTGATTGATGATTTATTCATTAATCGATCAATTAATTAATTGATTGATTGATTGATTTCATTGGTTGACTGATTGACTGTCTGACTGATTTAATGATTGTTGTTTAACCGTTCGTCTCGACCTTGATTACAAATTCAAAGGCAACGAATTTTTTCAACTTTTTTCACTTTTGATTGTGAAGATAAAAGAACGAGGCATGTGCCAAGGTAAAAAATAATTAGAACACTCACGGCATTATTGAGTTACCTTCCTCCTTTACTCAGTGCCAGCCGGGAGTAACTACTGATGAAAGTTTCGTTTTCCGTTTTTAGAGTGACGATCTACGAGAGAAAATCAATCGATTGAAAATGGCACATGCCGAGCTAACAATGAACTGCAGCGGAGTACGAACAAAGATAGAAGGAGCCAGGCTAGAAGAAAAACAACTTTAAAGTCCTCTGTAATTTATGAATTAATATGTTTTACACGCATAGATCACATCAAATAATATTTAACACATAGGTTCGTTTTCTAGAGTTTCAAGATTTGTATATATATAGTTATGGCCGTGTCATCTTGTAAATATCTCTATTTACTTTATTGTAGTATCTCTTGCCATCTCGAAACACTTTTCAACATACATGTGTCATGATAATTTCTCAATGTGAAAGAATTGTATAGTAATTGAAAAGGCATGCACAAAACGAAGTGGTTAATAAAGTTCGAAAACAGCAGTTTTTAAGTTTTTGCTCTAAAAAGGCTTTAGAGGGGCAACTTCAACAGAAGGTAACAGACAATAATCGCCTCCCTCAAATTATCCCCCCCCCCCCCTCCCTTCCTCGCCATCTTCTTTTTTTCTTAAAAGCCCAAGATGTGATTAGTTTTTTATTTAATGGGATCAAGTTCCAGTGAGCACTATTTAATATACTCGCCTCCCTCGAATAATAGCCCCCTTTTGGTGCGAGGGAAAAAATAATCGCCCCCGGCCTTTAATTAAAGGAAATACGTTATTTACCTACTTTACTTTTTTTCGTCAACACATTCGAATTTGAAGTTGATTCTAATACAAATCTGTCGATCCTGATTGACGATCCTTGCGTCGAACTTTTCATGCCCTTAATCGACTAGTTTTAACTAGACTAGTATTAAAATACTGATAATAGGTTCGGTAAATTTGGCAGAAAAGTTTGACAACCATTAGTCCTGTCTTTTAAATTATGACAATTTAACGGTTAAGAGAAAATTCATTTTCATGTTCTATTCCTGGTGGCGACAGAGGCGACGTGTCTTGGTACACGCATTCCGTGTCCAAAAGACCGTTTCCGAACAGAATCGCAGAAACCCGCTCCGATCATCTGGTCGGCGATTGGTTTCGACTAGTAAAAACGTAATTTTCCAACGTCTGACATGTGAGAGCGGAAGGGCCTCTTCCGTGGTAACGCTATACTGGTGGAAAGAACCAGATGCTTGCACTGAATCCTAGCGGTGGATTTTATAGTCATTGATTCGATAGGGATCGTAAGATCGGATGTTGCTGAAAAGAGACGTAGCCGGCAAACCTCGAACCAGTGGCTACAAGAATTCATCCCTGATATAACTACTCGGACCTCCCACACTGATCTGTAAAGGGGCCCACGGATCGTCACTGGCCAATTCCTGGTTGGCATCCATGCTTTCTGCTAGAAGTTCTATTCCACGGTCCCTGTTAATTTTGTACGGGTGTTAATTCTGATGTAGATCGCCTCTTTGACCCTGCGTTTGTATCATTGATGACCACGGTGGCTACTAAATGTAGCAAAGAGGCATGTGACTGGGTAGGGCGCGTCTCTCAACGCGTAGTAGCGTGAAAAAAGGTGTACAGTTCGAGAAAAAGTAAAGAAGGAAAAGTATTAATCTTTTCTTCAGTAATTTTAGTCTTAGTAATTTAGTAATTTAGTCTTAGTAATATTAAAATCTTGTTATTGCTGGAGTGTGTTGTGCAAAGGTTAAAAGAAGGGACCCAACAGAATTGAAGAGGTCGAGCTCGAGGTCTCCTGTTTGTTGCCAGAAAGAACCACACCAGCGCAATTTTTTTTGTCCACTATTGAAGGAAACGTGAATTTGCTTCAATTTTAATTTGGTTCAACAATCCTCTCACATTTTGTACATTTTCAAAAATCTACGCCAAACCCACCTCTCTATGAGACATAATAAACGATCTCTCTCTTAGACAACCTAAATGTGTTTCACACAAATCCTTTCGCTACTTCCCCCGTTTCTTTTGCTTTCCCACTTGTATTTTTGAAAAAAAGAATAAAAAAGAACAGCAAAAAAGGTGCAGGAAATGAAAGTAACAATACGAACAAAATTCT